TTTTTTTTTTTGTTTTTTTTTTTTTTTTTTTTTTAAATTTCAGACTTAGTATCAAGATGGATGCCATTCGGACCACACCACTATACGGTGACTAGGACTTAACTCCTGGAAATGAAATAACTCCTGGAAATGAACTAGACTACATTCAGCACTCGAATGAAGAACACTCTTATGAATCAAAGATATTGGAAACACTCTGTTACCCAATCACTAGAATAAAGTAGGCTCTGATGAAGAAATTGTGCTGTTTTGGTTGAGATGCCACTCTCTCAATCAACAACAATTTCACTACACACGAGGCATAAGGAGAAATAAGAGTAGAATATATTCTGTTAATCAATTTGTACACTCGATTTACAGTATTTACAGAAAAATAATTACCAAATGTAAAATTGTAAAATACAAAAGAAAATAAATAAATAAAAACAAAATAAATAAATAAGTTAAAATTAAAATAACATACTTGGGAAAATAGGCCCCTATGTATAGAGCCTATAGAAAATGATTTTGACAGCGGCGCCTAAAGATATAAATGAATTAATTTTAAAGAGACAAAAAACGGTTGTCCTGGAGATATATATTATGGGATAAATATAAAAAAATGGGATAAATTCTAGGTATTGTCAGAAACCAACCCAGTTTCTGGTGAAGATACTTCCAATTATTATTATTATGATACCTGTCTCTTATACACATCTAGATGTGTATAAGAGACAGGTGTAAACGACAATAAATGGAAATGCAGATATAAACGGCCGGCAAAAGACTAAAATGCCTGTAAAAGCGACAATTGAAAAAATACCAGTGAAATATTAATGAAAAAATATTCCGTTTAACGACAAAGGACAAAATTCTGGTGAAATTGGCAATGGACATAATTGCTGAAGATAATATTATTATTATTTATTATCTATTATTTATTTTAACATCATTATATCCTGAATAATCTGTAATATATATCTGTAGGTTTTGTTTATGTAGCAGTTTTTAATTCTTAGTAAACCTACACCTTTTCTTGTTTCATTATTGTCTATTTCTATTATATGTCCATTGGCCTCTAGTGGTGGGAACGCTCCCACCCCAGTAAACCCCAATAAGAATGACTGAAGCAAAACATTATTATCACGCCCAAGTAATTATTAATTTCACTCACTTAATCGTCGAACCGCACTCCCCCCTTCGTCCACACAATTTTTCGAATCCTAGATACGCCACTGTCTTTCGCCCGGAATTACAAAGTAAACCATCGTCACTAATACCGATACAGCTTTCCAAACCATGATCAACCAAACAGCAACCAAGGGATATTGGATCGAAATACTGATTGGGATTATACCATTTTAAAAGCTAATATTTATTATTTGTTATGTATTACTGATGAAGGTTTTTGTCCGCACCGTACTAAACACATACTTGATATGTTCTTGTGCAAGGCTCTTTAAATTAAATACTGTACACACAAAAGTTCTGTTCAGTAACATATTAACACTTTAGATGTGAAAGTTGGTAACATGCGAGAACACGTAGGTAAACTAATTGGGAATACTGTTTACATAGGTGGCATATGACAACACAAAGGTGACATGAGAACACATAGGTGGCATATGAGAACACATACGTCACATGGGAACACGTAGGTGGCATATAAGACAGGGACGTAGCCAGGATGTTGAAAGGGGGGAGCCGTTATGCGAATTACGTATGACCCCGGCGGGGTCAAGGGGGAGAATCCCCCTGTGAAGTAGCGCACTCTGAATGTTCTTAGGACTGTTTGAGAAATCAACAGTGGCAGATCCAGGAATTGGAAAGAGAGGTGAACCAGGGAGAGACTTTCACAGACCGAGGAACCACCCACCATGGTTGGGGCCGAGGCAAGAAAATTTATGATTAGGGCAATTCTAGATGGCCGGAAATTACACTCTCGCACTTCAATTTGAATATATTTTTCTTTTTTTCCCCTTAAAAGAAATGANNGGGGGGGGGGCGCTTGAATCCACCTCTGCTCAAAACATTCTTTATCCAGAATAGTCATAATCACGAAAAATGGACATGAAAAACCAGATCACATCCTAAAAACAATCAGCAGTTACTAAGACATACATCAGGAGCCGACTCGATAGAGTTTAATGTCATACCCAGGGAAGGGCACAGATCTGTTTTGAAAGGTAGAGG